CAAGTAATTGTTAATGCAAGAACACTTCAACCTATCATCTGTTGGGAATTTACTTAAACATGCACAGCGGAAATAAACAGTTTCAATTCCCACCATGATTCATCTTTATATTTAGATAAGAACTGTGATGAGAATTATACCTTTTCTTGAATTTTGCAAACTCTTTTGCTTATCTTTATTCCAACAACTTGAATCTGTCTCCCACAGCTGTCCAATTGTCCAGCCTCCAATGAAATCCACACAGAGAATAAATTGCAACTGCTAGAGTTTTTCCTCTTGTGCCAGCAAGAATTATGAAAACAATATGGATCTCAAATCCTAGCAATATATTTATATAAATCCAAACGGGCTCGGCCCAGTCCGATCCAATATTTAATTAATCAATTTAATTAAATATGGTCCGTGAATTAATTAATCCAATTAATTAATTTTGGGCTATAAATAACCAATCCAATTAATTAATTTATTCAACGATTGTTAAATTAATTAATTGGCAATTTGCAATCTTCCAATTCTCTTTTGTGTGCGACCCATTAAGTTCCCGACCACGATACCTAACAATATAAAATATTATTTTGATCTAATTAAAATTGATAAATTAAACACCCTTTTAATTTATTACAAATTCACACTCGCCGTCCCAAATTGACATCTAACAATGTATCAGGGCAAGACATGTGACAGGAAATGTCACGTGGTATGACAAAATCAAAACTGTTCGTTTACCATGAAACTATAATCCCTTCGTCAATATGATCCGATCAATTACAAGATATGGAAGTGTGCTAATCTCAATTATCTATCATATCTTTTATTCTACTATTAAGTCAATATGAGTCGAAAACTCATTTTCGACTTATGTGTATACCTTGACCAAGGATTTCGTTATTGACTTAATTGAACGAAATGCAGATCACAATCTCTTATTATCTAAAAGTGACGAATCCTCTATTAATCATTCACAACCTTCATATAGTTCTTGACATATCCAAACGATGTCGTATTAACAGCCCTTGACAGAGCGATATCCAACACCGTCAAAACATGACTGTCCTCATACAAGGCACTATAATGACCTCAAGTAATAGGACCAATTCCATTACCGAATGTTAAAGATTAACCACTGACACTCAAATGTGGAATCTCTTCGTGGGTCTCCAATATTTTGTTCTATAACAAAACATCCACATGTTCATTTCAGTGTCACCACACTTTAACTCGTGAGATCAGCTACTTACTTCACAAGTAAAAAATGTCACACATGATGGTCTATATGTAATAACGATATCCATATCTCGTTATTACTTACGACCACGGATTATTCAAGATCCAATCATACGTAATTTGTATCTCACAATCACAACTCCTTGCGATTAACAAATCACTTAAACTTGGATTTTCGGACTCTATTATTTAACATTATTTATCAGAAAATTAATTTAAATAAATAAATAATAGATCTTGCCAAAATTAAATACATTAAATATATTAAAAATGTTTACAACCTAAGTCGATTGGACCTAGGGCATAACACTTACATCATCATCAATAGATTTAAGTCTTTTCAAACCAAATAAAAATTCAAAAATATCATCATATTTCTAAAATTGCTCAAATCTATTCCGAAGTGATGATAGAACTTGATCCACTATATACATGAAATAATTGATTTTAAAAGATTCTTCGACTATTTGCATAATCTCTTCAGAAGAAGTCTCATCAAACTAATTCTTTCTATGTATAACCTATTTTTCACTAAATATCGGTTCAATTTTTAATTCACTTACAATCTTTTTAGCATCAACCATGGCCGCTTTAAACCCAGATTCTCTATAAGTTTTAAAAAATGAAATGAGCACTTTTGAAAAATGAAATGAACCCTTTTAAATGGTATATAGCAACATCAATATGTATGTCCTCTGCTTGCAAATGTTTGCTTATTCTGTTAACATTATTCAACACTTCATACCAAATAATCATCCCAAGTAAGAATTCAAAATTGTCAATTTCATGTGTTGTCAAACACTCCGCCTCACCTTTTGTCTCGGGATCATCAACATTAGCCAATTGAAGTAAAGATTTTTTTATTTACAAAGCTTGAAATCTTATTGCTCTAACACTTTCAATATGGCATTCCCAACAAGTTTGTGACAAGAGCTTAAAGGTAAGACCATTTACATTCTCTTTGAAAAATTTCACTATCTAGTAGATGACGAAAATAAAGTGTATATATGTTGCACCACCCCAAAGAAAGATTTAGCTTTCGAACAACAAGTGACCATATTACAAATTGCAAGATTAAGACTATGACACCCACAAGTTTTTACCTTAGATATTATTCTTAATAATACTTGTCTCTAATATTCTCTATCTCTATTGATTTGTTCTTGCATACTTTTATCAATCGTTTTACTCTTTTCAAATCTTAATTCCATTTCTATCCATTTACTCATGCTATTGATGGGTTCTCAACTTACTTCATGCATTTTAAGTTTTTCACCAACATTTTTCCAATCATTTACTCCATCATGTGCGAATTGAGTTTTGATCCCATCATTCTTGAATAGATTACAACAAAAACAAAATACTTTATCCAAACTTTTTGAATATGTCAACTATTTTTGTATCAAATGTCTCTCCATTAGATAATCGTTGAACGTCATTTGTAGATGAAAAGTGTCGATTTGCTACATCTTTTGGAAAATTCGTATCATTTTCTCTTATAGGACCTGTCATTACAATTAAATATCTTAAATTCGTGTTCATATTTCCCCAATTTGCTAGATCAAAAAGCTTAAGGGGAAATTGCTCATTATCTCTGTCAATAGATACCTCTTTCATTCATCAAACAATTGTTGAATTTTTGATACACAATAAATCCCAGCTTATGATGTTAACATGGGTTAATATTATTTCACAGGCATAGGTCGATGAATAAAATAAATTCAACAACCAAATCCATGATTTACACCCGGCCCAATTGTAATTCCTCTTGGATGGCTTGAATCTTGGCCCATTTAAGTCTCTTAAAGGTCTAACTTAAAGCCTAACCCTAGAGTATATATGTGGCTCTAACCCTAGCCACTTTCTTGTGATGTTTTGTGTGATTTTGTGAGAAAAATAAAGGAATCCCGACTGCCCCCTTTGTGTGTGAAAAAACAGCCTCTAGAAGTGTCCAAAATATTTTTATACTTTGTGTAATTGGTGATTCCTTCATATTATACCTTTGTGGTGTCTCCTAGCCTTTGTGGTCAAAAATCATATTTTCTTTTTCTATGTGATTAAGATTAAATAGAAATTGAGGTGAATTATGTTGGTAGTGGGTTGGTGCCTAATGGATTAGTTGTTGATAGAGAAAGATACGTTGGACTGAGTCCAAAAATCACGGATTTTAAGATCATTTAAGAGAGCTTCCGCAACAACAATGTTCTTCGCCAATTGTATTATTTCTGTTATCATTCTCATTAAACACTTCTTCAATAACTACATCTTCATTATGTGTTCGTTTACCACTACTAAAAAACTTATCAAGTGTTCCCTCTTGAGATTTAATCAACTTTTCAACATTTTCCTTTTAGCACATTTAGATTCAAATTTTCTTGTAGGCATAATTATAAGCAAAGAGCAGTAAAACTTGATCGATGAGCCTGAATTGAAAATTCTCAAACTTCTCCAAAAAGAAAGGATTCAACAAAAACAAATGACTTGCAAATATATAGTTACAGAGGAAAAGAAAAAGTCTCCTTTGAGAAAATAACTAAAAGGGGAAAAAAAGGTCTACCCATAGCAAAATATTTTTCTAAATAAAATCAATTAGGAATTCAAAATCATGGATAGAATTTCAGATAATTGCAAATATAATTTCCCATAAGTCATTTACCCAAGTCAAAATGAGAGTGAAAAAGTATAAATATCTCGCCATATATTTTAAGTCAATACACCAATTCATGACTACAGATTTATGCCTCAAGAAGAGTAGAGAATATAAATACCAATATAAAAAGTGGAAAATCCTCATACAAATCCACCCTTTTGCATTGTCACTGGAAATATCAATTACCAACTACAGAAGCAAAAGAAATTGACAAATTGTGATTCACTAGCCTCAACAATTTTATATGTAATAATTCTTAGGCTCATGCATATAAAATTTTCAATTTAATGTATATATAGCTATTCAATTTTCCATGTCGGTACGACATCTTCAAATAATTGGCCATCTCTTCTTCTTTATTTTCCTTAAAAACCAAAAATAAATTGTGGTTTTGTTACCTCAACACAACACTTCAATAGGAAGACAAAGATGAAGTACTCGATTGGTTGGATAATCGTATTTCTAGCCGGAACTTTTTTTGGTAGCCTTTAAGGATTGGCCAAATCACCTATTGGTATTGAAGTTTGTAATTTCGATTTCTCTCACATTCTAAACGATGGTTCATCCGCTGAATTTTTTTAAGGATTTTGAGGTTTTGTATTGAGATGGTTTTTGGGTCTCTTTTTCTTTTTGAGAGGCCACCTTAAAATTCGAGGCCCAAGGCCATTGCCTTGCTTGCCTTGGGCAAAGGCCTAGTGTCAAGTATTTGGAATGGTTGATGATGAGTGTATTTTGAGCACTTGTTTGGACCATATTACTAAACTTTTATGTCATCAAATTATTGAATTTTACTTAATTTTGGTTAATTTTCTAGTGTTTTAGTGTTGAACCTATTTCGAAACAATTGAAAAGGAAAGAAGGATGAAGTTCAAAATGTAATTTTGGGATCAAACTCCACATGTTAGAAATTGAAGGACTAATTTGCATTAATTATAATAAAGTGAGGCATTGAAAGATAAATTGCAACTAATTGGGCCTCAAACTAATGATAAGAAAGTCGAACGTGAAAGAAATTCCTGTTGGAAAATAAAGCCCAATTCGATGACGGCTTTGGGAAAAAGGTTGCATGCTATTAATTATAGATATATATACACACACAATAAGAGGCACAGGAGAGAGGATGAGAAGTGGCGGCTGAAGGAGAAAATTATATAAACAAGCACAGAAAATGGAGGAAAAAAAAGGAGAAAATTCTACTGGCGGCTAGAGAAAAACAGAGACATCGATACACGCAGAAGCTGACGGAAAACCAAAAAGAAAAAGGAACAAGGTAGCAGGCAGAGAAAAATTGCTAAAATTAATCAGGTTCCGTTGATTTTTGGTGATATCTTTTCACGTTTATATGTTTAATTTCAACATTATACATTTATCATGAACCTTTTAAATAATTTAGAACAAAATAATTTAGCGTAACACGATATAGGAATTAAACAAATAAATGTGGAAAAATATCACCAAAAATTGACGGAACGTGATTAATTTTTGTAATTTTTCTCTGCCTGCTGCCTTGTTCCTTTTTATCTATATCTCTGTTTTTTTCCAGCCGCTAGTAGAATTTCCTTCTTTTCATTTTCTACTTTTTCTCCTAGGTGAGTATGTGTGTGGTACTGAATATTTCAAGTAGAAATATAAAATGATAATGCTGTCTTCTTGAAGGAATTTAATCCCGAACTGAACATTCCAATCTACACTGCTAGGCCGAAAGCTCTTAAACATGTTACCCGCACCTAATACCATTGTGCAATATAGAACTTTCTACATAAACTTGCCTAAATTATTTGCACTTATCTACTTTTTTCGTTACTGAGTAATAATATCATTTTCCATTTTTTGCAGGGACTGTGGTTGATTCTAAAATCTGTCATCCTACAGAGTTTGATTTTTATCTCTGGTATTCAGGTAAAACACCAGTACTTCTACGTGTAATGCAGAATAGCAGTGGCAAGTTTCTTTGTGACTAGCAATATAACGTAAGACATCTTTTCTAGCATAGAAAAAAATGTAATTCGGTATTCAATATGTTAATCTCGACTGCTAGAAAGGCATATTCTAGTACTTGTCAAAACGTTGTCTTAGATTCCCGTTTGGCATGGCTTTTGCTTTTACTTTTTGTATAAGAATTTTTGGAGAAAACTACCAAAATTTTTGTTTGAAACTAATTTTTAAACGTGCTTATTCCAGAGATACTTTTAGGGGAAGCCATATTTGACCGGTTTCCTTTAAAAGCTCTTCTAACTTGAAGAACCATCTTCATGAAATTAGCCAAACAGATCCAAAAGCAATTTTCGGATGTCAAAAGCCCTTTTAGCTTTTCAAAAAGCCATGTCAAATGGGCTGTTAGTCACCCCAAGTAGCTTGTGCAATTCATTATCATATAAAACTTTAATTGAACTCATTGACAAGGTCAATTTCAATTTCACAATTTTAACCCACTGGTGCATTTACATGTTTTAAAAAACAAAGATCATCAGTGTCACCATTTATTCCAATCTCGTCCCATTAGTTCGAGTCAATATTTTTGGTCACCGTGCTTTTATAACATGCGTCTTGGATTCTGGAAGTTGTGGACTTTGTACACACTTCTTTGACATTCAGGAAACTAGTAGGCCAAGGCATTACCATGCCCTTTTGGATGAAAATAATTTTTCGGCAGGTGGAATTCAGTTGTTGACGAATAATCTCTGCTATACATATGCAAGATGCACGCGTTCTGTCTCTGTGGGTAAGTGAAGACATTTTCCTCACACTGTCTTTTAATCGACATATCTGTACTGCTGTCTATCCATTGAGAGCCAGTGGAAGAAATCATAATAATTTTAACCTTGAAAGTGTGCCTTTTCAAGATGATCTTTTTTTCTTGAAGATGTTAATCTTGTATTTATTTCCCTCATCTAAGAAACTCAATCAATAGATTACTCAAATACCGAATGGTAATCAAATTATATTGTTCCTTGAGTGGCATTTCATTCAGACAATGAGGTCAAGAAAGGTGTGCCAGACTAACCTAGCAAATTTTTTGTGATTAATGCTATAAACTAACATAATTGTTGATCAGAATATGGTGGAGAAAGGGTTGTTTGTAATGAATCAATGAAGTAGAAAGATTTAATTCGCAAGAGCGTAATTAAACACAACAAATTTTGAAGAGTGTGTAAACCAACAAGAAAACAAGAAAAGGAGAAGAAATAGATCTGAGACAAGTGACAATCACTATTTCCTTAAGACAATATTGTCCCATATGGTGCCAACGGTATATGGCACTTGTGTCCCAAGATACAACGGATTCAACTTATGGTAAAAGTACTTTAAACCCCAAGTTTCAGTGAACTTAGAATGGAGCCTTCTCTCTACAAGAAGAAATGAGTTTGGAATGATTTGGAAGAGTTTTTGCAAGATATTTTATGCAATGCTTAATGCAAAAAATGATATGGGATGCATTATGGATGTCCAAAGGATCCTATTTATAGACGATGAGAGAGTGTGGGTGAAGTGATGCGCACCAAATCTCGCAACTTTCTGAAAGAAAGCATTACCTATTGTCGTTAGCCTATCACTGGCCTCTCGTTCAAGCGTCAGTGTCAAAATTTTAACATAACTTTTTCGCTAAGATGTTACTCGAGCGATCCTGGCATTGGAACGATAGGAGAACGACGGAGTTTGGCAAAATCCATGGAAGTTTTCCTTCTTTTTTTTTCAAGTTTGGATCGCAATTTTTCATTCATCCGGAATAGATTTTGAGATTCCAAAAATACCGTAATGATCTACTTGACGAGTAGAATAAGTTAGCCTATTTACATATATAACTTGACTATTAAATCAAATCCGAATATTTGGCTGAAATTGACACGAAACTCACTTTTTCACATTTATACTTAACCAAATTTTCTTAATTTTACACCAATTTTCAATAATCCCCACATAAAAGGAAATTCGAATATGTACATGCAATGCGAAAAATTTATGATACCTTGTAGAGGGAGAGAGTGGAATGAGATGATGATAATAATAAGTAACTTAACTCTTAAAATCTTCAACCAATTTTTTTAGTAATCCCTAGCATTATAGCTACGATCCATGATAATTATCTCCTTGAGTCCAAAACCTAGTCCAGAAGCTTCTTGTATATATTTTGTGTGCATATATAAATATGTAAATCTTTGTAGCTTGTCTGTTCTTGGCATGTATATCATATATCTTGTGTACATATATAAGTAATGAAACGAATGGAATGACAAAAAACGGTTCACATATTTTTATTGTTTGTTGTCTTTGTTGCTTAATATACGCTAATTAGGAATAAAATAATAAGAAATAGAAGCAGACATTGGTGGAGGGCTAAAACATCAATCATAGGAGGGATTTTTGCACAATTTGACAGATTCTCAGAGGCACGATTTCATTGAATGTTGGACAAAAATCAAATATAAACCAGCCAATCCACCCTTATCATCTGTAATGCTTCTGGTACATTTCATCAGGACAAGGAGCTTAATTCCTAAACCATATCTTGCTGGATGTCACTTCTGGGGACCAATGGAATTGTAACAAGCTTATCATTTTTCTCATTTCCATCTGAATGAGAGTGGCCAAGGAAGACTCATAGAACATTTCACATGCATTAATGGACAACCGGGACTGCCAAAGGTGTGTGGAATCTTGCCTAATACTGAAGAAAAAAATTGAGATGAGTATATACCTCACACACACACACACACATTAAATGTAAAGATCAGTTGTCCATTCCAGCTTCTACATTTAGAAAACCTTGAAGGGCTCCAAAACCAGACCTGTGTACAAAAGAGATGAGTTATCCATTACTATGAATCAACCAAAGGTTAATTAGTTCATGATTTTTCTGCTATAACAGTATATAATCTCCTGATCTTGTTCATGGAAATCAACATGCATTTATAATTAAGTTGAGACAATAAATTGTTGAACTCGAGTTACAGAATTCTACAAGTATGTGTAAGAATTAAAAGCATGTATTGATCTGGGACTGTCGAGTAATATGCAGTCTTAAATGATATGGGTTCATGAGATGAGAGCTGTCCATTCTGTTTCTACATTCAGAAAACAGTAAAGGAACCAACTCTTCCAGGAACTCTAAACCAAAAAAGATGAGCTGCCCATTGTTCTGTCAATGATACATGACTATATGCCAATAATTCATAAATTTGAATCAACCACAGGTTAATTACATGATGTTTTGATTTATTCTGCTTTAAGTATTTCTCAAGAAAGAGCACATTAGTATTCATAGCACTGAGATACCAAATGGAAGAGAAAATTTCAAGAATGTCCAAATAATCACGATTAAATCGTGGTTCCAAACAAGGCAATATCATCAACAAACTAAATCAATCTCGGCCTAGAAAAATCGGGATTAATGTTTAGACTTTAAATGCACGATCAGATCAAAATGCTCAATCATAAGCGTCTTGATCTGCTCATGCATTTTAAGGTGCAAATTTTCTTTTGGAAGGATCCTTGAGTTCCATCCTGATATAAGTGCATTTAGATCTGTAAATTTGTTGTCATTGATCCCAGTTTTGTTTAGGCGAAGTTCAACTATCTATTGAGAAATTTTCCTACTTCATCCTTGTAGCACTCAGATTTACTCAGTATATATAAATATAGTTCTGATTTGGTACACATTTTTTAGACAAAAGTGTTGTACAAAAATGCCAGGCTGCAAAACTTATGGGGAAAAATGCCAAAAAATACATAAGCTGTCTTGAAAACTAACCAACCACCAGAATTCTTAATGATAGAGTAGATCAGTCAGATCTACATCAATCAAGCGCCCCTAAGAATAAAAGACGAAACGTCAATAAAATTACAGTCCTACATAAAAAATTTCTGGCTTCAAGAAAAACATTGAACTGTAAATTAACAAGATATCATAAGAATCTCAATTCTTAGGATTAATCAGAAAATGAGACAAAAATGAGCAGATAGGTGAAAGAGTAGTAGGAAGGAGAGTTCGAAAGCCCACAGATAAGGTCTATGATTCAACTATGATATCACTATCATGCGGAGGCAACGAGAAGGCGGCTATTGCTCATAAAGTAAAGTAGATACGTGGGGGTAAGACCTGAAATATAAAGCGGACAACGTCTTTGCAGTGAGCCTTGGCACCTCAGAGACCAGAAAGAGGCTCTCTACGGTTTATGAGCAGCAGCAGGCTACCAAGTATAAGTCCAGAAAGTCTTTGAGCTTTCCCATCCCGCATTTCTGGAAGGAATGGATGAACCTTCTCATAGATTGATTGACCTATCGGCCCTCTCCCTTTTGGAAAGAAAGGGCATAGACAGAAAGCAGCGTCCTTCTCCTCAGGAAGAAGGCAATTGGACAGTGGCACTCGAATGATAGTAAGCATCCCTTCTTCTCTTTCCTGGTAAAAAAAGAAAAGAAAAAAGAAAAGCATGTAAAATCCCTACTCCATAGGTTGCATCAGAAATTAGTAAACGCTAAGAAACAAAAGGGTTTCTCGAAATTATAAGTCATAGAAATAATGAAATCAGTTCATTTTTCTATATATGAAAAGAGATAGTGCACGCAACAGATATGCAGAAATTGTACAGGTAATCTAGGTATAAAACATCAAGGCTCACCTCCTAAAGCACGTCTAGGGATCCACGAAATTTCTGTCAAAAAATACTATGTATCCATTAAATCAAACAATTACACCAAAAGGAACAAAACCATAAACCGGTGTAAAAACACATAAACGTTCTATAACTGTCAAAAAGCATTCAAAATTCAGATGAACCCAACATATAAACAATACAATAAGGAAACTGCATACCATTCTTTCAACAAAGAGAAACCTTAACGATTGAATTAGAAAATAGGGTTTCATGCCACCAGCATCAGATGAAGCAACCACGTGATCTTATCGTTCCTCAACGAAGAAGAAACGTTTAGATCACGCTGGCAGCTTTAACTCATAATAGTGCATGACGATCATAAAACCGCCAATTCGTCAGTCTCCGACTAAAGTCCGTGACAACTTGCTGAATTCCCATTAGGGTATTTTGATAAAGGAAAAGGAAACCTAGCTAGCTACAAAGGGTATTTTATTCATCTTGTACCTAGAGAAGAAGAGCATATGGGGTTTAAATAGAGGTATGAAACAGTAGGGATTTGTAGGGGAATATAGTTTTGGTGGATAAAAGATAAAAAATTGGTGAAGGAAAAGCATAGGATAAGCATATAATAGAAACAAAAATGTATAGATGCTGAAGGTGGTCCTCACCTGCTGGATTCAAATTGAATATTTGTCACGCCTGAAGCTCCAGTTTAGCAGACTGTACACAGGTTTGTAATAGTAAAAGTTCCTATATATTAATTTAAGAGCATTTATTAACTTAACTTTAGGGTTGAAATGGTGTGGTGGGGTGGGGTGGGGTGGGGACCCTAATAGGTATATATCGTGCACACACAAGAATACGTGCGTGTATAATTACAATTTGCATATTTGAGAAAGCATCTAAAGATGGGCCAAATACGTTTGTTTTGGCTTATAATTGAGGTGGCGGTATAAAAATAGATTTCGAGTTTAATTCTTGTGGTCACTTGTTACGTGTTAGGTATTTGAGGGAAAAGATAAACTCAATCCAAATTGTAAAGCGTGTATGGCTTGAGTCTTCAACCCTCCACGCCATATTTTAGTTTCCTATTGAAAAATAATAACAAAAACATAAAAAAGGAAATATATATTAAGTCTTGATCCCTGGTGTGATATGTATGAGACATGTTTGTGGACCCTAAAAGGCTTGACATTTTCTAAACATATTGGCTCAATAGATGCTCCAAATCGAGCTTTTTCGACGTGTATGTCATATCTAATTTAGCTTACACGGGAGCTCAGGACTTGGCGGCGTCACATTTTGTAGACTCATTTGGCTATAGGTGGTACAAATTAGGCTAGTCCAACATGTTTCGACACTTTTAATCAGCCCACACATGTATGTTGAAGATAAAAATATAAATGAATAATTTGCTTCTTTCTAATAGTTAAGAATCTAGACGAAGTGGTTCAACCAAACAAAAGTGTAAACTATAGTAAGAAAGGGTACCATATTGCTTTCATGTAGATTCAAAGAAAGAAGAAATGAAAGAGCATCTCAACCTAATAAAATTATTATGTGAATCTCTCTACTTCCCTCTTATTTAATAATACATTGCTCCTTGACTCTCATTTTTTAAGAGTAGATTTTGTAAAAAGTGATTTTTAGATAATGCATTATTAAAAAACCAAGAAAAATCTTGAATTTACGTGCAAATTTGTTTTGTTGAAAGAATGTGTGATAAAAAAAAAAATTTGAATTTAAAGGAAAATGAATTTTAAAAAATAAGACTCAATAGTTTACATGTTTTTAACCCTAGTTCCCTTAATAGAATCTTTTCTTTGTTCAGTTGCAATGGGCATTTCTTCCATATTTTGCCATTTGTTGGACACTCACTAATCAAAAACAACTGTAGTTTTACAATTATATGCAGATAATTATGAAAATGACTGCTATGGTGATTCTTACTTATTTTGAGAAATATCATATTTAGTCCCCAACCTATACAGTCACTTACTAGTTAATACTCAACCTTCAAAATCTCACTTTTGAATGGTCTACCTTTAGCATGTTTAGCAAATTACTATTTTTGGCAAATTCCTCAATTCAAGCATTAAATACAGACATAGGCAGGAAGGTTGGTGTCATGTGAGGTACGGTGGGTAGGGTTGAGTTGTCAGATGTGTAGCCTAATAAATTGTACATTTTTTTTCTGTTGAGAAAAAAAATTAATCTTTTTGTGAAGTATTTAATTTTTAAATAATGTGATTCCTTTTTATGAAACATATTCCATATTTCCAACACTTTATCCATAATTAGATAAATTGAAGTGCATCTGAGTATCTAAGGGCTGCTAATAATAATCACGACTGACACCTCTTAAGCCATTTGTTGCATTTGCCAGCACACTTAGCTTTCCACAATTTTCCTTCTTTTTTTTTCTAACATAAAAAAATAAATAAATATATATATATAATCACGTTTTTAACCTCTATATGTCGTCTGTGGAGAAAATTTCAATTGCCTGCCTAATTTGTTGAATTAAAATGAATTCGAAGTATTACAACACAAAAATTGTGGATTACCCTGTTTTTTTGAATTCGCCTAATATGTTTAGGAGTAACAAACAGATCGGGCTCAACTTGTCCCAAATCAGTTCATGGATGGCTTGAATTCGTTTTGAGAAGAGCCATGGACTAAGTCGATCTCAAAATTTTTACCTGATTTTTTGGCGTGCCTCAAACTTTCAACGGAAATTATAAATTAAGGTTTAAAGTTTCATTTTCATGTATTTATCTACGATTGAATCCAAACTTTTCTGCACGTTAAATGGCCATTGTGTGCTTCTATATATATATATGTGTGTGTGTGTGTGTGTGTGTACATACAAGTCTATTGACTTTTCTCTGTTCTCTTCTCTTTTCTTCACTTTTATAACACGTTATCAGCACGATAACTTAATTTTTCAAAGTTTAGTAATGGTAATAATTTTTATAGGCATGAATATTTATCACATGTACCAAAATTAATTTGGTAGCATGTAAATTCTATTTATACATACGCATTAATTTGTGCTTCGTCCAATTCAAATCTAATATGTGTTTCATGGTACCAATCATAAATTGGAGGCTCTTTTGTCCACTACAATTGCATTAATTTCTAACTCTTAATTTTACTTCTTGGTTATGTGGCAATCAATTGCATGAATTTCTATAAATCCATTTATTTAAATCATATTCAGGCGTCGCAATCATTAGATGCATAAGAATTTGTCTTTAATCCATCTTTTCACGTGTGGTACAACCTCTTGTTTTAAATTTTCGAATATGAGTTTGAGTCAATTTAGGTTAATTTGCGCAGTAACAATTTGTACTTTGCTTTAATTCATGTATATGAATTATTGAATATTATTTACTATGTAACACGTGTAGCATTAGATGTATTAATTTATGTAATTCTTTCTTTAATTTTTTTATGGATGTAAAATATATGTTTATAGTGAAGAATAACTTTAAAGCATATCTTTTCAAGATTTTTTTTTTTTTTTGTAATACATGTTTGGTAATTAATTGTAAAATATAAATTCATATCTAATCTATTTGGTAATTATTATTTTTTATTTGTATGGTAATTAATATTCATTAACTTGATTAAATATTTGTGCTGCTCTATCATAAATTTTAAATTAATATTTTATCATGTTGTTGCTCCTGAAGTATCGAAACATTATAATTAATATTCTAGAAGAGAATTAATCGAAGATCTATCTATTATAAATATTTTGTTGATACTCCTGAAGTAGCACAATATTATAATTAATATTCTTGAAAAATATTATTTGCTCCTAAAGAGCATAAATTATATTTTTCGATATTCTAGAAAATATTGACGTATTAATCTTGAAGAAATAATAATAAAATACAACGTACTCCTGAAGTAGCATATGTTTCGAAAAACATATTATTTTAGTGTTTATCCCTAAAGGAAAACACGTAACTTATGTTATGTTAATATTGACTACTTGATTAATTATTATATGAAGTTTAATCATATTTTTCGAAACTAATTATATTTTCTTTTACTTTATTGTATAGTTAATCAAATGGCAAACATTACAAAACTTAAGTTTGTTGCACTTGACATCTCTGGCAAAAATTATTTATCAAGGGTATTTGATGCTGATATCCATCTTTTCTCAAAAGGTTTGAGAGAGACAATTAAAGAAGGAAATAAAGAATCCCTGCAGAATCATGCAAAAGCACTCATCTTCCTTCGTCATCATCTTCACGATGGACTAAAAATTGAATATTTTACTAAGAAAGATCCACAGGTTCTCTGAAAAAAAAATTAACTGAAAGATTTGATCATCAAAGAACTATAGTCCTCCCCAAAACCCGCTATGAGTGGATGCACCTTTGTTTGTAAGACTTCAAAACTGTTAGCGAATACAATTCTGAATTGTTCAGAATATATTCAAAATTGACATTCTGTGAAAAAAATCACCGATGAAAATATGTTGGAGAAAACCTTTCCACCTTTCACGCCTCGAATGTGCTCCTGCAGCAGCAATATCGCGAGCGTGGTTTCAAGAAGTACTCAAAACTTATATCTTGTCTGCTTGTTGTTGAACAAAATAATGAATTGCTGAAGAAAAATCATGGGTTACGTCCAACTGGTTCTATACCATTGTCTGAAGCAAATGGTACTGTATTGCCTAAAACAAATACAATATCAAGACAAGGACACGGACGTGGACGTGGACGTGGATTTGGACGTGAACGCGGACGTGCACGTAGAGTAAATCATGGACGAAATAATCAACAAAGTTATTAACAACAAGGAAACAATTTCAAAATGCACAAATTAAATGAAAGTAGCATACCTAAAAAGGTACATGAAGAAAGTTGTTTTAGATGTGGAATAAAAGGGCATTGGACACGTACATGTCGTACGGCAAAACACCTTGTGGATTTCTACCAAAAATCAATTAAGGGAAAGGGAAAAGTGGAGACAAATTTTGCTGACATGATGGTCCAATTGATGTGACTCATTTGGATGTCTCCGATTTCTTTACTAATCCAAATGGAAAAATTAACCATTTGATTGGGATGGTGTAATAGAAGATATAGATTAATTTATTTACTTTTTTATGTTTCTAGTATTTCCCTTTATTTTAGTTTGAAATATATTTTTACTTTTCACAAAAATTTTGAACTTTATTATCTATCGCTAATTTCACAGTATTAATTATGCTTATCATTTTGCATTTAAATTCAAGTTTTTTAAAAATAGATCTATTTTGTTATATTGATAGATTCATGATGGATTCTCAAGACACCTGTTTGATTGATAGTGCAACTACACATACTATTCTTCAAGACAAAAAATATTTTTTTGGACTTAATATTAAAAGAGAATAATGTCAGTACAATATCAGGTGTATCGAATATCGTTGAAGGCTCCGAAAGAGCTTGTATTATTTTACCAAATAATACAAAATTATATATTAACGATGCACTTGATTCTAGCAAATTCAAAAGAAATTTGCTTAGTTTTAAAGATATCCGTTACAATGGATATCATATTGAGACAACACAAGAAAATAATATCGAATATCTTTGTATAACTTTTTTTGTATCTAGTCAGAAGCAGATAAAAAAAATTTATGCAATCCCATCGGCATGTATTATACATTTTAAAAAAATGGTTGAATCAAATAATGTCACGAACCTGAAGTTCGTTGACCCAAAATATTTTATACTTTGGCATGATCGA